AGGATGACGAAATTGGCAGGTGATGTTAGTCACCATAAACATTTTTGTTTTGTTCTAATTTTATAATATTTAACAGAAGTATTTATTTTTGGAACGTTTATTTTTGTTGTTTGAGAAGTCTATACATGTATATATTAGGTTTTGATCTAGTCCACCTCCTTTTCCCTCCCCTCTACTTTCTGTACTATCCACTCATCTAGTATTTTTCTCTTTATCTTTTGTGCTCACTTTTTGAACTTCCTACATGTGCACTGGTGTAGGGCTATATTATTTAGCTTAATATGATGATGCACAATTATGTTCCATTTACTGAAAATATTATAATTTTATTGTCTTATATGCTTTTTACTTAGTATTTTTTAATTATACAAAATAACGGCTTCTCTTCTGATGTATTCATACATATATATCACTGTATTTTTCCCATATGCATCTCTGACACTACCTTACACCATTCTTTCTAGTACCAATCTTTCCCTAAATGAACTTATTTAGGCTTGCATGACTCATGTGTGTGTGTGTGTGTGTGTGTGTGTGTGTGTGTGTGTGTTCAAGTGCAATTTCTGCTACCCAAATATTCTTACATATGTAGCCTTCCAACAGAGCTTGGCAACTGATCAGGAGCTGCATATTTAGATATAACTGAACCTAATTCTCCCAGAAGTTAAGAATTGGCAAAAACTCTGCACGTAGGGATGGAATTTCATGCCCAACTCCCCTCTCCATACTGGGATATTGCTCAGTCATCCTCTGGATTTCACTGCAACCTGCTAAAATGGCATCTTTCATGTTTAATTTTATTAATTCATGGCTTTTTCTTTATTTTTGTGTCTTGCTTGATTGGCTTATTATTATTATCATTATCATTATTATTACTTTGAGACAAGGTCTCATTTGTCCCAGGCTGGCCACATACCCTCTATATAATCAAGGGTGACCTTGTCCTTTTTATAGCCTTCCTCTGCATCCCGAGTGGTAAAGTTATAGTTCAATTCTCTATACATATATTTTTATAGCTACTTACATCTCCAAAATGCTTGGTCAACTCATTTACAGATAGTGCTTCCTAGACAGCAGGACCTGGTTCAATCCACAGATCACTGCCCTCTCACTGCTCACCCTGGTAAACCACACTTCAGATCCCCAACCACACGGGGGAGTGAGAATTTGAAGTATGGGGTAGATTCTACATGTTGAGGCATTTGAACTGCTCTTCAGTAAGAGAGGAACAGGTGGTGCCAGCAGAGATGAGGTTTGAAATTTGTGACTTACTGCAGGCACATCTGGAAAATGGTGGTGGAGTTACATCTGGAAAATGGTGGTGGAGTTTAAGCGAGAACCAGACCTGCTCTAATCTCTTCTTTGAAAGGACTGCTCCAACTCCTGCAAGGAGAACTAACAAAAGATGTGACTGAAGGGGAGAATAATAACAACCCTCCTGGGTTTGAGGAAACTTTTCAACTTTCAGCAAAAGGACATAAAATACAGAGAAGTTATCTTACCTAGGATTTATTCTAAAGGTGATATCAAATGGAATTGCAGAGAGACCATTCCCATGGTAATGGGAATTAAAAGATACTTTTATAACTGACTAGAAAAAGTAATTAACAGAAAAAATGAAATAAATTATATAGTCTTAACTGTGGCCAGAACATGACTATATTTGGCAAACAGTCCTTGGGGAAAGTGATAAAATTCAAAACTTTTAGGGTAGCCATAACCCAGTCTGAATGGTCCTTGTAAGACTCAGATAATCTAACACAGACAGAACAGAGATGCACATGCCTAGAGGAAGCACAGAAACACTCTGGACTCTAAGCATGGAGGTCTCTGAGGAAACAGAGCTTTCTTGCAAAGTAATCCTGTCATTTGAGCCTCTAACGCATGTGAAATGAAATGCTGTTTTTCTCGGCTCGGTCTGTGGGATTGCATCTTCTTCTTCATGTCATTTTGTTTGCTTTGCTTTGTTTTTGGCAGCCACAGGAAACTAAGGTAGGGGTGTGAGGGAAGGAAATTAATAATTCTATCTGAAGCATGTTGCCTTTGAAATAGATTTGGAAGACAAACAACAGTTACAGGACTTCCATGGTCCTACGTGCTGAAGTGCCAGCTACATGGTGCTCGTGGCTTCAACCCCATTCTTCCTAACTCCGTTTTATGTGTCAGCTTTCCTCTATATTTTATTTTTATTATCTCCTATGAGTTCATAGCTCATAATTCTGTTCCACAACACATTAATCTCTTCACTCATTCTTGGAAGTAGGGAAAAACTGGGAAGGACTTGAACTGAGTGACATTTGGCAGACTCACATAATATCACTTGGGAACCAGGAAAAGATGGACTGTAATGACTTTCCACAGGGCTGCCATATCTAAGGTCACCCACACAACATGGGCAAGTCTGCCTGGCTCTCTCCTTCATCCTTCTTCTGGCTAATTTCTCACCTGAACATCTACTGTGTGTCCCTGGCCAGGATCACTCATCTCCAGGTTCCCTCCCATGTTGTATCTTGGACCAAGTACTTTGATTCTGTCTCCTGAAAACCTCATAGCTTTTCACATGACTAGAACAGAATTATCATCTTCTAATAGATCTCTCTTTAGAATAAACTATGCTCATTCTGTGGAAATCATCACTGTCTCTCTCACCTATCAAGGGTTAAATCATAAGAGGCAATCTAGATTGCTAAAGAGGCCCTCCTGTAATAGTCTCTGCACCATTTAAAAAAGACCCAGAATTGATTCTCACAGGCAGAATCCAGGACCCATCATTCACACCGAGACAGGACAGTTCTTTTATAATAATCACCAACATGGCCCCACCCACCTGCAACCAAACTATACAGTCCTGCACAGGTCTATAAACCTCTGCAACATTCCCAAAGTATGAAACAGGAAGCACCTGCATTCAGTGATGATTTGTATCTTTCAAGGTAAAGAGAAGCAGTAAATAAGTAGGTACAACAGATTCCACAGCCATTAAAAGGAAAATGGTCAGTTCAGGTGCCCCAAGTGTACAAAGAAATATTTGAAAATCTAAACATTTGTTATACCCATAGATAACTACCTAGTCACAGATGGTACATTCTGCAGTGTGCAATGTTTAAGGCAGAGATTCATAACTAGTCAAAGCATTGAGTGACTTTGCTTGCTCAGGTCTAAATGGAACAACTATACCCACCCCTACTTCAAGACTCGGAACATCGCAGAAGAGGGGATAAATGAAGGTGAGATCTGGAGGATGGGGAGCAGTGCTGTGAAGCAGTCCTTGGCATGTGATGTGGCAGCTACACTCATGAACTCAGAGCAGTCATGGTTCTGTAGAGGACCTGCATGGTGACAAGACAGCCAAACGGCAGCACTGATAGGAGAGAAAACACTCATGAGACCTGCCCCCAGCTGAGAATCTACTGGCAGCCGATGGTTGCTGAGGGGAGAATGACCATTTTCTTTGGGGCTTTAGTCATTGATGGTTGTCCATTCTCAGTTAATGGTCCCACACGCATGTGTATACAAACAACACCAATTAGATTCTGTGGGATATTAAATTTAAAAACCACAAAGAAATAAAAGAAATAAAACATGAAGCTAAGAGGGAGATTGATATGCGAGTCCCCTCTGTGTGCTGTGATTACCATTAATGAATAAAGAATCTACTTTGGACCTATAGCAAGTCAGAACTTAGGTAGGCAGGGAAAGCTAGGCTGAATGCTGGGAGAAAGAAGGGTGGAGTCAGGGCAAAGTCATGGATCCTTTGCCTGAGACAGACACTGAAACATTACCCAGTAAGCCACTGCCACGTGACAATAAACAGATTAATAGAGATGTGTTAGTTTAGGATATGAATTAGCCAGAAATACGCTTAAGCTATTGGCCAAACAATATTTTAAATAATACAGTTTCTGTGTGATTATTTTGTGGCTGGGAAGCTGGGGTAAATGAACAGCCTCCTCCCTCAACAAGATATGTTTTAGGTGAGGACTCCAGTGGAAGATGGAGGAAGAGAGTAGAGATACAACCAAAATACAGTGTTTTAAATTCCCAAAAAATAAAAATATTTAAAAGTAGGCTTTAAATACCTTACTAGCTGCTTAAATATATAACTACCTGTAAGAAAACTCTACTATAAAATTATTATAAATTCTACTACCTAACTGTACATCAATTGTTTCTATCTTTGATTTTGTGAGACAGATTCCCACTCCATGGCACAGACTGGTCTACAACTATAATTCAGGCTTACCTTGAATTCATAGCAATCTTGATGCCTCAGGCTCCCAGGAGATGGCAAGATACAAGTATGCCATCACACCTGTTTAGCTACTGTTTCTAAACTACCCCAAACAGCACTCGTCCTCCAAAATAATACTACACAAACTGCTGGAGCCAGAAGGCAGGATTTTCAACCTGATGTTTAACATTTAATTTTCTTAATTATTATAAGTCATTTTTACAAAGACTTCTGAGTATCTTTTTTCTCTAGTGAAATTATATATTTCTTAAAAGTCAGCCTATGATGTGTTTCTGCTCTTCATTGAGTCAACCTAGGTGGAGATTAATATGTCTGTCTTGTGTGATACAAAAATCTCCCCAAAAATAAGCACCTAAGCCTAGAACCCAAGTCTACTTGACATTAGGGAGTTGCAGATACAAATCAGTTGACATTAATTACATTCTTAGTTGTAGAGTGGAAGAGGGCCACAACATGCATGTGGAAGACAGAGGAGAACTTGTGGGAACCAATTTCCTCCTCCACCATGTTGGTTCCAAAGATTGAACTGGGCTGTCAGGCTTGGTGGTGGGTACCTCTACCCACTAACGTCATCTCAGCAGTCCACTAGCCATTTAATTTTAGATATACTGGACTGCCAACTGGGAACACCACAAATACTAGATCCTGATGTGGCAGGATAGTATGTTCCAGAGAGAGACAACATTGTTTGGAGGCTTAAACAATACAGTTAAGCAATCCTTTCCCTTGAAAATAAACCACTCTCAAACACAGTTCCAGTGAACGTTTATTTATTAGGCCCACACAAGGTAAGGGCAGAGCTCATGAATGCCTGAAACATTGATTATCAGTCAGGACCACTTTTTCTTTGCTCTCTCTCTTTTGCTGGGAGCATCTTGGACTTCCACTGTTTTTTACAATGATACAATATCCAGAAGGGTACTGGTAGGCTTGTTTCAAAGTTGGAGTCTTCTCAGAAAGTGGAGGAGAATGCAATGATTGTCACAGCAAATAGAACCTTTACTGTGTTGGCTAAATTAAAATAAATAAAATAAGAGTTACCAAGAGAACCTCAAGAAATCATTTAACACTTTGAGCTTGGGTGTGGGATTTTATTTCTCTAAATATAATCACCTATCCTCTCTCAATCCTGTGACTGGCATGAAAAAATTTAAGCACTCTGTTGATAGCCATTCTATTGTAATAAGAAACCCTATTGGATATTACAAATAATGCTGCTATGAACATAGTTAAACAAATGCTTTTGTAGTATGATAGAGCATCTCTTGGGTATATTCCCAAGAATGGTATTGCTGAATCCTGGGGTAGGTTGATCCCGAATTTCCTGAGAAACTGCCACACTGATTTCCAAAGTGGTTGCACAAGTTTGCATTCCCACCAGCAATGGATGAGTGTTCCTCTTACTCCACATCCTCTCCAGCAAACATCATTGATGTTTTTGATTCTAGCCATTCTGACAGGTGTAAGATGATATCTCAAAGTTGTTTTGATTTGCATTTCCATGAACGCTAAGGAGGTGGAGCATGACCTTAAGTGTCTTTTGGCCATTTGAACTTCTGTTGAGAATTCTCTGTTCAGATCAGTGCCCCATTTTTTTAATTGGGTTAATTAGCATTTTAAAGTGTAGTTTCTTGAGTTCTTTATATGTTTTGGAAATCAGACCTTTGTCTGTTGTGGGGTTGGTGAAGATCTCCCAGTCAGTAGGTTGTCTTTATNAAAAAAAAAAAAAAAAAAAACAATGATATCTTGAATTTTGCATGCAAATGGATAGAAATAGAAAGCACTATACTGAGTGAGGTAACTCAGACCCAAAAAGATGAATATGGTATATACTCACTCATAAGTGGATTCTAGCCATAAATAAAGGACATTGAGCCTATAATATGAGATCCTAGAGAAGCTAAATAAGAAGGTGATCCCAAAGAAAAACATAGTTATCCTCCTGATATTGGAAGGAGACAAGATTGCCAGGCAAAAGTTGGAAACTTGGGGGTGGGGATGGGGTGGGAGTAAGGGGAAATGGGGAGAAAAAAGTGAGAAGGGGAGGATGGGGAGAGCTTGGGGAAATGGGATGGTTGGGATGGAGGCAGGGTGGATATGGGAGTAGGGAAGTATATATCTTAATTAAGGGAGCCATTTTAGGTTCGGCGAGAGACTTGACTCTAGAGGTGTTCCCAGGTGTCCATGGAGATGGCCCTAGCTAGATCCTTGGGCAGCTGAGGAGAGGGAGCCTGAAATGGCCCTATCTTATAGCCATACTGATGAATATCTAGCATATCACCATAGAAACTTCATCTGGCAATGGATGCAGCTAAAGACAGAGACCCACATTGGAACACTGGACTGAGCGCCTAAGGTCCAAATGAGGAGCAGAAGGAGGGAGAACATGAGCAAGGAAGTTAAGACCGCGAGGGGTGCGCCCACCCACTGAGACGGTGGGGCTGATCCAATGGGAGCTCACCAAGGCCAGCTGGATGATGGAGCATGTGATCAAACCGGACTCCCTGAACGTGGCTGACAAGGAAGGCTGACTGAGAAGCCAAGGACAGTGGCACTGGGTTTTGATCCTACTGCATGTCATGACTTTGTGGGAGCCTAGTCTGTTTGGATGCTCACCTTCCTAGTCCTGGATGGAGGGGGAGGACCTTGGACTTCCCACAGAGCAGGGAACCCTGACTACTCTTTGGACTAGAGAGGGAGGGGAAGGGAAATGGGGGGAGCAGGAGGGAAATGGGAGGAGGGGAGGAGGTGGAAATTTTTAATTAAATAATAAAACTAAATAAAACTTAAAAAAAGAAACCCTATTGGAGAATTAAAAAGCAAAAATACAAAAAGAACCAGGAGGGTCTGAAGGGATTACTCAGCAGTTAGCAGCAGAAGCTGATCTTTCAATGGCCCCAGGTTCATTTCCAAGGACCCACATGGCATCTCATCATAGTCTATAACTTCAGTTCCAAGGGCTCTGACACCTTCTTTCAGCCTCTGTGGGCACCAGGCACACACATGGCACAAAGACATATATGCATCATAACACCCATACACAATAATAATTTTAAAGCATTTTTCAAAACCAAAAGAGAGGAGATATTAAAAGAGAAATTACTAATTCAGAGCCCTTCAGTTTTTCATGGAATCATACATTCTATGCTTTAGATGGTGGCTTGGCTAAGAGTTTGTGTATTGCACTAGGTTCCACACCCTAGAGAAATCAAAGGGGAATTTATGAACACTCAAGGGAGAATTTGGGTCCTGTCATGAGTCTACATGAAGTTCCAGACCCCTGAACAGAAAAGACCTGCATGAGGCCGGGTGGTGGTCGTGCAAGCCTTTAATCCCAGTACTTGGGAACACTTGGGAGGCAGAGGCAGACAGATTTCTGTGAGTTCAAGGCCAGCCTGCTCTACAAGAGCTAGTTCCAGGACTGGCTCCAAAGCTACAGAGAAACCCTGTCTCAAAAAACCAAGGAAGGGAGGGAGGGAAGGAGAGAGGAAGGGAGGGAGGGAAGGAGGGAGGGAGGGAGGAAGAGAGAGAGAGAGAGAGAAGACCTCTACATGAAGGAATAATTTATTTTATATCTTATTTTATTTTACTTACTTTGAGATGGAGTTTTGCCTTATAGACCAGGCTGGCTTGGAACTTACTATGTAGACCCTGCTGTCATGGAACTTACTATGTAGACCAGGCTGGCCTGGAACTAAGAGATTCAGCTGCCTCAGACTCCCAAGTGCTCAAATTAAAGATTTGTGCCACCATTTCTAGCTTTGGGGAAGAGTTAAAGGTGGAGTCTATTCTGAAGGGATTAAAATTAGCATAGAATAGAATAACAAATCTCTAGATAGGTGTCAGGGATAAAAGAGAAGATACTTACAGGATCAAGAGTCCCAGAGAAGGTGAGGTTCGGGTCTGCAATGAGATAAAGAATTGGTTTTCACTCACTTAAAACTTCCTTAACTCCAGTTACCAGAATTTGTCTTAGAGAAAGAAAATAGATGAAACTTTATGATGTCTTCACTAAGCGCTAGACAGAAAGATGCAAGAATGTGAAGGGTGTGATGGTTTACACCTTTAATCCCAGCACTCGGGAGGCAGAGGCAGGCAGATCCCTGTGAGTTCAGGAACAGCCTGATCTACACATCAAGTTCCAGGACTAGGGCTACACAGAGAGCCCTGTGGATAGAAAGGTAGATGGGTTGGTAGAAAAATAGACAGATGGACAGACAGACAGACAGACAGACAAACAGATAGGTGGGTGGGTGGGCACATAGATGGTAAATGAATGGAAGGTATAAATGAGAGCAGCAAAGAAATCCACTGATGAAGCCTTAAATTTTCTTTGCTTCTATTTGGTCCAAATACAAATGACAATTAACACTTAACCAAAAATTTGGCCCAGGAGACCATCTGTCTGGAATATATTGTAACCATTAGAAGAGAAAAGGGTATGATTAACTCCATCTCCCTAACCATATTTCCAAACACATGAACACCCAAGGAGCTGACCCTCAAGAGTTTGTTCTTGAGACAGGTGGCTGACAACAAACTGTGTGGTCCCCAACAGGTGTCTTCTACTGAAAATATTCCAGGAAAGGGGGATACATATTCTTCAAGTTTCAAAGAACTTTTGGTAAAAGAAAAAAAATTACCCCTCCTCAGAGTCAGGCAGCAAGTTTCCCAACTTGGGACCTTCCTCAACAGTGAGACGAAAGAAAGGGTCACAGAGGGAAATGCTAGCATGTGAAGACAGACTGCTCCTACCTGAGGTCTCACTGTCTTCTTCGAGAAAACTGGAGGGGACTGTCTCAGCTTCAGGAGAGGACACTGTGAAGACAGAACAGACAACAAGTATAGTCACCCACTGTGGGAAAAAGCAAGCTTTCCTGGAGGAAGGCATGTGATAGGGGCCCAGAAACACCTATCCAGACCTCCAGGAATGACACCCTCACTTACCAGCAATCTGTGTGTTTTTGTGATACCCTTCTGTGGGTGACAAAAAGTCTGAAGTCGGATTAAAGTCCATGGTTGGATCACTGTCTGTGTCTGCTTTTTGAATTTTTATCACTTTCTCAATTGGTGGTGGTAGCTTTCTGACTGTTTTTATTATGTTAGTGATTGAATCCAGTAGGTCTTCAATGTTAGCAGGTAAATTTAGTAGTTCTTCACTGAGTAGGTCTAGTGGGTCATCGGTGGTTGCTTCTGGAAGGTAATTGTTGAGTCACCTTGGTTATAACTGGTTAGATCTGGCTGATTCTGGTAGGTCTCTACTAGTGAATTCTTTTTATTTATTTATTTATTTATTAAAGATTTCTCTCTCTTCCCCACCGCCGCCTCCCCTTTCCCTCCCCCTCCCCCAATCAAGTCCCCTCCCTCGTCAGCCCAAACCCATTAGAATTCACTAGTAGAGGGCAGGGAACTCTACTAGTGAATTCTAATGGGTAAAGTAGTGGATTCTAAAGAAGCCCAACAGAAAAGAACAGCTTAAGTCTTTTCCGGTGAGCATGTCTCTGTTGTCCCCACCCCTTCCTGTTCTGGGCCCTCCATTCAAGGGACAGTTTAAAGCGGCTGTTGTTGCGTGGTTCCACCAAGTCCTGTTCAGCAGCTAGAGCCCCTGGGCTAACTAGTGCTCAGAACAGTGTGATCAGAGCCCACTCCTGCCTTCCTTGAGGAGTCAGTTGAGGACAGAGCATCTATGTTGTGCCACTATCTGATGGAGGAAGGCCATTGGTAATAAACAAACTGCCTTGGCCCATTTTGTCTAGCCTCTTCTCGGCTAACTCTCGCACCTGGACTAGCTCATTTCTAATAAGGTGTGTAGCACCCCAAGGTGCGCTTACCTGGAAGATTCTAGCCTACGTCCATCCTGGGTCGGAGCTTCATTTCGAGTGCCTCAGAGAGCAGAGCTATCGCGTCTGCCCAGGAGAGGGGAGCATGGTGTCTCTGAGCTCACTTCCTCTTCCTCCCAGCATTCTGTTCTGCCTACTCCACCCACCTAAGGGATGGCCTATCAAAATGGGCCAAGGCAGTTTGTTTATAACCAATGACCTTCCTCCATCAACTATCTGTGTGCTGGGCAGACTAACACAGAAGAAAATTTCAAGACTTGCCTCTATAATCCTTCCAGATTTCTGAAAGCCACACACAGATCTACTAATGGCTAAAATTTAAAGAAACCACTGGTCCTATATATAAGCAAGAGTGGAATCAACCCTAACATGTTCCATTACAGCTACTTTTCATGTAATGCCCTATGTCTAGGACCCATTTTCATCACATCCTAAACACAGTCCTAATGTCATAGGGCTGGTTACCTACAGAACCCTCACAACCATGTAATCTGCTGTGCACAGGGCATGTCTCCCAGGGACAGGCTCATCTCACCATAGCAGGAATTGTCACAAGTCTCTCTCTCTCTCTCTCTCTCTCTCTCTCTCTCTCTCTCTCTCTCTCCCCCTTCCTCCCTCTGTGTGTGTCTGACTGTCTGTCTGTCTGTCACTGTTTCTCACTTGGCTTAATCTCAGATGCATGTATAGAGAGGAAGCCCATCCAGCAGCCCAAAAAGCGAGAGTTACCTAGCAAGAGCATGTGGGTGAGCAGCTCTGAGAAACTGCCTGACTTCAGAAAGAACTAGAACAAAAAGTTTGGTGGTTGTTAGATCCTTCTTCTCTCTGGCTCTCAAGGACATATTTCTTTCCTTGCTCAACGTGGTCCAAGTTTCCATTCCAGTCCCACAGATTCACAGTCAGTGACAGAGCTGGCTGACAATGCTCTCAGACATGACTGAAGCTCACTCTGTTAAGGCGTCCTCATCTCTTTATCGTAATTCAACAGATTCTATCACCTCCTTGACAACCAGTGAGGGTAGGACCATCAGAACCATCTCAGCCATTCTGCCCTGGTCTCATCTAACCAAGCTTGTTAGCTATATGTGATTAATTCAAACTCACAACCAAAACCCACAGCTCAGTCACTCAGCTGCCATTCTCGCCTAAAACAACCTCTACAGAATCATCCAGTTTCTACTTAAAACAAGTCAATCCTCTGCACACCCATCTCCACACAAAGGCACATTCACAAACTTTAACTTCTCCTAAAGATTCCAAGGTGCACACACCTGTGGGGAAAGCCACAGCCAGAGCACACAAGACAGAGATCACCAGAACCTTGAAGAGCATCATGTTTCAGTAGGATCAAGGCATTAGTCCAGGAAGAGCTCTGCTGGGTTTTTATACATTCTTCTGCCCTGCCCCTGAAAGGTGCCATTCCTTTCCACAGCTGACTGGAGAAAAAAAAAGGGGGGGACAGGGATGGGTTTGGAAGGGTGCCCTCATGAGCCATTAAAGAATGCACCAGCAAGGAGGTTAAGAAAAATTAACAAGCGTCAGAGGAGCAATCTAAGCCAGGCTACCCTAGGAAAGTCTGATGAGATCCTTTGTGAGATCAAGTGCACCACCCATTGCATTAACTCCATTATCCTCTGAGGCCGGGGGAGAAATTCTTATTCCACCAGATGTGCCCCCCAACTCAGACATCATGACTGCTCTTCGTCTTCTAGGATAGAGTCATTTGTCTTTTCTGACCCCCAAAAATGGCTTTGAGTGAGAAAATGGGCTGTTTGACTCTAAGGGAAAACCTCATGTACACATTAGAGTCCTCATCCAGGCAGACCCCTAAAGGAGAATAGTGGAGAGCTGCTCGTTGCAGGAGCAGAAATGTCTAATGCTGTGTTGTGTGATTGTACATGCCAGACCATGCATTCTCAACAGGAGCCCAGCAGTAGACATTTCATCCACCTTTCCCCAGGAGGAACCTACAGGCTGACATTTGAAGTAGCTCCCCATTATACAAGGATGCTGACTCTCTACAGGGGTGTCAAGAACATAAATTATGTTTTCTCTGCTGGATCCAGAATCATTTGCCACACAGTGTAACACAGATACAACAATGGTCCAGAATTTGGAAGACAAGAAGCACCTGGCAGGCCAATCATACTAAAAACAACAGGACTCAAACAAGACAGTAGGGCAGTCCTTTAGAGTCCAGCAGAGAAGGAAGCAGATCGCCTCTACTGGCTACAGTGAGAACACTTGCTGCCACAAAAGATGACATGTTTTGACTCTCCCATGCAAATCCAAGAGCTGAACTAACAATCAGAGGCACTAAAGAGACAAAGCAAGCAGCTCCCTGTAGCTCTGCCTTGTACTTGACCGTTAAAAGTTAGTGTTCAAGATGTCCCTTCAGCTTCAGAGGTCACAGCACTATGTTCTGACATCAGTTTCCATAAGTCTCAGAGCAGGAGGGGCTATGCCCTGGCCTAAGGGCTGGGTGAGAGGAAAAAGTGCTTCAACCTTGGAGGTAGAGGACCACTGCTTTCCTTCCCCCTGAGTGTGCCTGTGCAAACAGATGGAGGATCCCAGGAAGGACCCAAGCCTCCAGGAGGTGAAAATTAACAAAACCGTAGAGAGATCTTTGTAGGGCCTTTATTCAAAGACTGAATACCTCTTTTTTTATTTTGACATGGTATTTTTACTTCCTCAGCTTTTTCTATGTGCCACCAAATGTTGTAGACTCATGTGATCTCAAGATTGGAAGGAGTCTGGAAATGGACCCAGCTCAGTCAGACTTTCCAGGACTTTTGCTTCATAGAAGAGTATATTTCCCTCGGTAACACCCCTGGAACTGGAAGATTCAGTGTCTTAAGAAGAACAGATCATCTTTGGACAATTATTTCCTCCAGTAGCTGCAATTTTAGCCTGTTGGCCACAGTTCTGTACTTGGGAGTCAGATTTGTAAAACTGGCCCCTCTTCCCTCTTCTGATGTCAAAAGGAGTTATTATTTAACTTTTAAATTTTTTTAAATTTTTACCAACCCTGCCCCCGGGGGAAAAAATACTGTTCCTGTTGCTTTGGGGGAAAATATTTCCCACACACAGCACCAATCTCTGGCTCAGAAAGAATAAAAGTGTAGTTAGAAGTGACTTACTAACTAGAGTTAGGGATGCAGTTGAGTGGCAGAGCACTGGCCTGGAAGGTACAAAGTTCGATCCCCAGTACCACAGGAGGAAGAAGAGGACACGGGGGGGGGGGTGCAGAGGTATGTCATGAGGATTAAAACAAATGATTGTAGGTTTGGATCAATTAGAGCAGCAAAGAAAGACCTTCCAATAACCTTCTGGAAATCCTTATTAATTTGCTTGCATTCAATTTTGACACTGCCATTGAAGGGAGCCTTGGGGATAACTGTAGAAGGTGTTCTATCAGCATGGAAACACAAGTCTTGACATCCCCCTCAGTTTCCAGAGGTGGGTAGAGCCAGGGTGTGATCCTCCAGACCTGTGCATCCTCTGTCCCTCCCTGATATCCTTACTCCTTGACCAAAACCAAACTGTGAAGCACAGCATGCAGATGTGTCCAGCCTGGCAGCTGACCCAGGGCAAAACCACCTTCCATTCCCAATAACCATTCCCCATCCAGGCAAAGCTCTGTAGAAACCAGAATCAAATTTCTAACCTTGGGGCAAGGAGTGGGAGATGGCTCAGTGGATAAGAGCACTGTTTGCTCTTCTAGAGGACTTAGGTTCAGTTCCCAGCACCCACATGCGACATGGTGGCCCGCAAACATCCATAACTCCAGTTCTGGGCAAACAAAATACCTCTCCTAACCTATGTGAACACCACATATGGTACACTTCACACATACATACATACAGGCAAAACACTCATAAATGCAATAAATAAGTGAATAAATAAATAAAGACCTAAAGACCGTAATAAAAACTAATTCTTTCAAAGGTAATTTTTAAAAATGAGTATTTTAAATATCATATTGTATGAGTTACAATAAAATTTGAAAACACAGATGAAAAACATATTAGTTCCTAAATTATCAACTACTGCAGGCTAGAACCTTCTTTTGTTTCCTTAGAAGGCTAAGGATGAGATGTAGCCTTGAACATACTAAACAAACTGAGGTGCACCTGCAGCCCTTAATGCTAAAACCTTACTAGTCCATTTAGTGTTGCTCCATTCCTACAGAGTCCACTACAGGGTTTATACAGAGAACCAAATTCATAGTTGTTTGTTTGGGTTGAATTCTAACACGGAGCAGGTAGGAAAGACCCGCCAAACACAGTATATGGACCGAGGTCTTAGGTTACCCGGGCATGGATCCATGTACAATTCTAAGTCCTCCTTAACTTATTCATCCCTTTAGATTGTTGTTGTTGCTGGGGGATTGGGGGGGGCATTTATTTGTTTGTTTGCTGTTTGTCTGTTCATTTGAGGCAGGGTCTTTATATGCAGCCCTGGCTGTCCTGGAGTTCACTGTATAGAACAGTGCTGAAATTAAAGACATGCGCCACTACACCCAGCCAGCCCTTTTGCTTTTCTAACCTGCAAAACACAGGTAATGTCGGTAATCCTTTAAAAGGTCACTGTGAGAATGAAACGAACTGATTCATGTAAGCCAAGGCTGGCATACAGTAATTGATTGATGACTGGCAGCTCCAATGAGTCATTTGGAAGAACATGGAGGTTTCCCAAAAAGGAAACAAAAGAACCTCTTTTTACAATCTAGCAATTCCACTGCTTGTTAAATATCAAAAAAGAAGTGAAAGAATGCACACCCTTCCTTGCTCATTGCAGCGTTATTTACAATAACCAGGTGGGGGAAGCCACTCAGTGTCCATCAGAGATGAATGGTTAGTGAGCGCCGAGCACACAATGGCCTCATTCAGCCTTTGGAGATGAATGACTTTCTAGAAAACTGTTGCAAGAACATACCTAACACTTAACTCTATGCAGAAAAACAAGTAGGTGGTAAATCATAACTTTAGTTCTTGAGTGCTTGATGATATTTAAGGCTAGATAAATAATAATTATTAGATGCCAGGCACTATCCTAAATCTTTTTAGATAAATATTCTGCAAATTGTAACACCTTCACAAAAGCAGCCGCATCTTTCCTAAGCACAGAGAAGTGTCCTGAGAAGCAGGTCTGTAGATGGTTTTGTCATTAAGCAGATGTTACACAGTGAGTTTATGGTAACTAACATGACTATGACATTGTGACATTGTGAGGTGATATCATCTCACACAGCACCGAGCTAGCACCTATGCTTTGCCCATAATTATTTAATAGTCCAATACGTAATTGGACCAATACCCTGCCCCTGAGCAGATTCTCAACTTCTTAATTCTTTTTTTTAATTTATTTATTTATTTATTATGTATTCTGTCTGTGTGTATGTGCCTGCAGGCCAGAAGAGGGCACCAGACCCCTTTACAGATGGTTGTGAGCCACCATGTGGTTGCTGGGAATTGAACTCAGGACCAAACTGTACACAGAGAACCCTCAGAGAGAGGACTGCTGAACTTGCCTAAAGGTGAGATGATCTTTCGGGGTTCCTGCTTCATGAAAGAGTCTGCGAGACATTCTGCAGGACACAGAAGAAAGTGACTGAACTGTCTTTGGAATTTCCTGCTTCGTGGAGGTGTCTGCTGGATACCATGGGCCTGTAGGGCGGCCGGGTGCCGGGGCCCCGAAATAATTACACGGAAACTGTATTCTTTCAAACACTGCCTGGCCCGGCTAGTTCCAGCTTCTTATTGGCTAGCTCTTACATATTGTTCTAACCCATTTCTAATATTCTATGTAGCCCACGAGCTGGCTTACCAGGGAGAATCTTAACATGCGTCTGTCTGGAGCGGGAGAATCATGGCGACTCCTTCACTAAGCTTCTTTCTCCCAGCATTCTCTTCTGTCTACTCCGCCTACCTAATTTTCTGTCCTATGAGGGCCGAGGCAGTTTCTTTATTATAATTAACCAATGTCCTTCCTCCATCATTTGGAAGAGCAGGCAATGCTCTTAACCTCTGAGAAATCTCTCCAGCCCCCAGACTCTCAACTTCTATGACTTGAGCAGGAGATTTCATCTATTCTGCTCACTGGTCCATTGGTAAATAGCTGCTAGTTCTTGAACCCTGGATTGGAATAGGAATTGTGGGGCTAAGGCTGTGATGTCAAGTGAAAGAAAATTCAACTTTACTTAGTCTGTCTTGGGCTACATGGAGAAAAGTGCTTGAGTGTAGAACAATTCTCAAGTCAAAGAGCACAAACAGCCAATTCAGTGTCTCAAGAAGAAGTCTTACTGATCTTACTATCTTTCTATCTTTAACCAATCTGTAAAACAGTGGAGT